CGTCATCGGAATACCCATAGGATAGCATTAAATAATGGTTTCCTATAAGGAGGTCCATTGCTGCGGATGTCGGGGGGGGGGTTGGGTGGGCGGAGACTATAGGGGTGACTATAGGGGTTTTAACCCCTTCAGCAACGTAGGAGGGGCGGGAGGCAGGGGGGCACATTTCAGGTTTCTACATTGCCAGTAAAAAGGGGTTTGTTTTCCTGGGACTAGAGAATCCCTTTAATTATATGATATACATTTCACTTGATAGCTGAATATATAGGTTTATGATGAACATATATTCCAATGTATCACTTTATTAATATCAGTATGTTTAAAATTATATATTATTATGGCCTGTGTTTCATAAGAATTTATCAGCATTTTGTACCATCCCCTTTATGCAACATTCAACTATTTTTCAAGCATATGAATATAGAAGCATAGTTCATTTTTGCAGCATTTTTGTGGATTAGGCAAGCCCTCCGTTGAAATAGTATCCTGCACAGGACATGTAGTGACATCCAAAATCTTTTAGCATGTTAACTGTGTGTTCCATAGAGGTTCATTGACATTTAGATTGCAATCAGTGGATGGAAAATTCACAGTGCGTCCTTAGTTGGGCAATAAGTCTATTTGTGCATGTTGTGCTATTTGGTGCCCCATAATTTTAATATTAAAAGAAAACAATATGGATGCTGGTAGACTGGCCTGGACATTACGTAATGCTGTTTCAACACAGGTCAAAGGAACTTTGTATTTTGTAACCTTAAGAAGTAAACAGGAGGAATACTTATCTACAGTTTAATTTGTGAGCTATCTGTGTACAAGGGTAACAAGAACAATGGTTTATTACTCAATGAGACTTTACAATGCGAGATACTTAAACTCACAGAACTTCAAAGGGGGATACAAACTATGCAATTGTTTGTGCATAAACATCACAGGCAATCCAGAGTGTTTGTCAGCCATACAAACCCAAGGTCTGAGGTCGCTTCCACATTTTCAGGATATTAGAACTTAAATGAATCTATTGGAATCATGCATGATATTCAAATGTAAACTAAATGTGTGATTGCTACAGTAATGTCTATAACTGCATCCTTGACTGATTTAGGGGGAAAAGGTAATATAGATATACTTCTATTTTTCTTTGTAAAGATGAATGTATCAATTCATACAGGTTAGATTGATACAGGATATAGACATATTGCATGATGATTAATATAACCAACCCTGTTTTAATTAAAGAATATACATAACCAAAGACAGATATTTAACGTAATTTGAAATATCCCCAGTATAGGTGAATTAAAGGTCAATTCATTTATTTAACCAGGTCATCAATGATCTAATTCAGGTCTTCATACCTAGGGAAATAGTGCCATCTATTGATGAAAGTCCCCAAGGGCTACATTAATAATTAAATATTAAGATACGCCCATAACCAATCAAAAGCCAGATTTAAGTCCCAGGTACCGCCCATTTACAAACAAGGGGCAGGAACTGATAAGGGGGAAATAATGGTGAAATAGGGAGAAAAATAAGAGAGAGGAGTCAATATCTTCAGATCATCTTAAAAAAAGATCAAAGGAGAAAACAGAGGGCTAAGAAAGGAGGAGATTGACTGACTAAGGGCAATAGACTGAGTTACAGACCAGAGCACCCAGAAAGAAGAATCCCAAATTGAATTAATTCATCCTAGACTCTTGGTAATGTATAAAGGTTTCTCTTTACTCTATATTAAATAAACTGGACTATTGAATGCCCTATGTGTCTATATTGTGAACTGATCCCTATTGAAAGAACAGTTATATCTCATTCTACCTGCAGCCTGAGTCAGATATAACTTCCTAAGTCGGAACATTCTTGATTCCTTCCTAGATCAGTTCAATATATATATACTAAGGCTATCAGAAACCTTATATAAACGTACTGTAGTTAAACCGATGGTATATACTTGGCAGGGTTGGTTGATATTTAACTAATTAATATAATGACAATTGTATCATTAATGCAAGGGGTGCCATATGATTAATTCTGTATACTGCTATTGTTTGTAATAGATTTTATAGTCCTTTGCTGAAAAGATTATAGATGAGACAAAGTGTAATGTTGACTCTTAGGCTTGTCAAGTAAACTAATTGACTTGTTGACATAAACTCATATATAATATAGCAAATTGATTGTAATTGTATTGTTTTGTTGCTTTGCATTTTATAGTGTGTATTATTGAATTTATATATATTTTAAGCAAAGTCTGTTTATTGGCCATCTGCCCTTCATAAGTGTTTATATCACCGCTTAAAACAAAGAACTACAGGGTCCCTGTGGGCTCTATGTGTGTGTGAATATCATCAGATATTATTCAATCTATATTCCATACATTTAAACCTTAGATTATCCAACATGCAATTTTAAAATTTTTATCAAGTGGATAAATAAGGCAGCATAGTTCATTTTCCAATGAGTTCTAATTGTGCAAACACATTAAAGAAATAGCGGCCTGCAATTGAGTGATCCAGCATTTTTTTTTAGGACAAAACCAAATGTCTATACTCTATAGCATATGTATACAAACTAAACTCCATTCCGTTTACAACAAGAAAAATGGCAACAGCTATATAAATGGCAATAATAATAATAATAACAGACACCTACTAATTTCATTCGCACAACCTTTCACAAGATGCTATTACACAGGAAACCATACTCAGGTTACTAGGTGAGGGATTGTATTCTAAGAATTCTAAAAGGACACTCAGCTGCCCAATTAAGAAAACTAAACTATTTAGTAGATATACCACCAGTGAAAACGTGAATGGATTTAATTATGCATTTTTCTTTAAATATACATACAAAAAAAAATTAATTAGTCACAAACACACACACAGAACCATATTTGTTTTCCTAATGGAGCACTCCACTGCCCAAATAAAAAAATATATATTTAGTATATATACAATATATATTTCCAGTGCATTGGAGGTTTATCTAAAAACAGCTTGCAAAAACTGTCCAATCACAGACTTTCCAATGTAGCTCAATGAGAAGTCTTTGCAAGGCATCTGCTGCCTCCCAAACCAGGAAGTAATAAGATCTGTTGTCTGATTGTCCACCAGGTTAATTTTGAAAAGTGCCAATTTCAATTGAAATCTGAACTATTTTGTAAAATGGAAAAAGAGGATAGACTTTTCACATTTAAAGCACTTCAGCAAACTAGAATGCTCTATGTGGATGGACTGTTCCTCTAACCCTCTACCAGGAGCTCTAGAGACAGTATTAAAAAGCAAATAATCCTTTATACAAACAGTCAATACTACTCACCAACTCTCATAATTAAAGGAACACTATTTCCACATTTGGAGATTTTAATTACCCAGACATAAATTGGGAAGGGACTAGTAGTTCAGCAAGGTCAGTCAGGTTTTTAACGTGTTAAATGACACCTTCATGTCACTCTGACAGCCACGAGAGGATATTCTGCAGAATAATCTAAGTAGAACTTGGCTATTTATATCAGATGGTCTCACAGAAACCATCTTATTGGCACAGAGTGGCATTTTGCTATGCATGTGCACTAGCCCGCCAATGCTCTCCTATATCGGCCGCAGACAGAGCAGCGTGGTGTTGGAGACAAGGTAAGTTAACTACAAATTTTTAATCCTTGCGGGGGAGATGGGAGGAATCATCTAAACTGTGACTAGTGCACTATATTGCTAGGAATGTATTCCTAACGCTATAGTGTCCCTTTACTGTTAACATATATTTATACTTTATAATGTCATGGACCAATTAACTTCCCAGTTTAGTAAATATGAAGGGTTTTTGTGATTTACAATATATTTTATCTGTTGCAGCACTAATCCTTTTCTGCCTTTTTTAATTAGTTGACATAGATACATTGATAATGTGCTTTTTCTTAGGGAAGGCTCTGAAGTTCAGTTTTTGATTTCCATAATTGTATACATAGAGAATTTGTGGGATTGGGAACTTACTTTACAGTATGGTGAGCAACACATTGATTTTCTATATTTAGCATGTTAGGGGGATAAGGATGTTTTACTATCTATGGTATACCTTAAACTGTGAATGGTCTTCAACACTACAAGTCCTAGCATCCTTCTTTTATGAGGGATAATATAATTCTTGAGAAATGACAGACTATGTACAGATCCTAAGACTGCAGACACCTTTCGATTTTGTTATAGAGGATATCTTGAAGAGGTTTCTAATAACGTAGGATCAATAAATGATAGAACTTGTATATGTTCGATATGCGCTCGCTCTATATTTGAGGGCATATATATATGTTTGTGAAAAGGCTGTTTAAAAGCTGAGCGATCATTTTGGATAGAAAGAAACAGTATAGGTGGTGGGTATGTTTGTATGTCAAACATGAGTTAAAGCCAAATCTTAAGAAAGTGGAATGTGGCGAGAAAAATGTGGAAGCTTTATGGGTAGATATCTGCTTGTGGTAAAAGAACGGAAATCGATTATTGGTTGGGATATGTTATACACCACCTAATGTTAATATTGAAAAGGAAGAACAGCAAATTGGGAAAGCTGCACATCTGGGTAACACGTTAATTATTGGAGATTTTAATTACCCGGACATAAATTGGGATAGAGGGACTAGTAGTTAAATGACACCTTCATGTCACAATTGGTAGAAGCACCAAGGATGCTCGCCTTGATCTGGTTCTAACAAACAATGTGAATCTTTTAACCAACATTCAAGTAGGGGAGCATTTGGGAAATAGTGATCCCAACCTGAAATAAACTCAAAATAGGAAAAGCACGTGGGGTATATTAAAATGTATGATTTTAAAAAGGCCCTTTTCAATAAAATTAGGGCAGCTCTACAACATATCGACTGGCATAAACTTCTTAGTGAAAAGAACACTGAGGATAAATGGAAACTCGTCAAACAAATAGATTAGATGATTAAATGTTCAAATAAACAAATAAACAACCATTGTGACTATCAGCCGTCTAAATAGGTATCACTTATCTTTTTTTTTTTACCAATATGCAAAGACACAATAGAAAGTACATCATTAGAAAATGCAATTTATTAAATATTGAAACATGGTAATTCACAGGCGTGTCAGACTTTAGCAATAACAATGTACTTTACAAAGTGATTGGCATCATTAGTCCTGATAATGCAAGATATTCTATCAGTGATAACCAGTTTATTCTGGTACAAAATACTTCTCCAGTTTAGGTTATTTAATTGAACAAATATGGAGAAACTGGAAAATATTTAATTAAACATTTTATAAATACACACTGCTTCTGGTTTCTTGTCTTTGCATGGCAAGTATGGTATCCCGGATATTAGGCTATTCCAGTCTGTAAGAATGAAAAAAAAATAATAATTAAACAAAACAAACAAAATTAAAACATATATAACTTCTCCCTTCCTCTCCTCACACAAATGTATATTGGTTCTCATGTATGATTATTCCTTACAACCATACTGTATGTAGATGGAACCTTAATTTAAAAAAATATATTATATTTTCCGCTCATTTCTGGCTTTTCAACCAGTTGCTTCACAAACCAATAGGGCCATCTCTTTAAGGATGAACTGCCAGGTATTCAAAGTGAATTAAAACTTTAAAATACTCATGTGTGTTGTCCCCTCCAGCCCCTCCATGTGTATCAATCTCCCAGCATCTCCATGTTTCTTATTCCCTAGCCCCAAGCTCTTCCATTTTTCTCATCCTCCCCCAGCCCCTGCATGTGTATCAATCTACCTCCTCCCCCTCAATGTGTCTCATTCCCCCTCAACCCCTCCATGTGTCCCATTCCCTCCCCTTCAGCCCCTCCATGTGTCTCATTCCCTCCCCCAGCCCCTCAATGTGTCTCATTCCCTCCCCCTCAGCCCCTCCATGTGTCTCATTCCCTCCCCCAAGCTCCTCCATATGTATCATTCTACCTCCTCCCCCTCCATGTGTCTCATTCTCCCCAGCCCATCCATGTGTCTCATTCCCTCCCCCAAGCTCCTCCATGTGTCTCATCCACCCCAGCCCCTCGATGTGTATTATTCTCACCCCTCTATTTGTCTCATTCTCTGCCCCCCCCACACTAAAAATAATGAAATTTCCCCCCCATTTCTGGCTTTTCAACCAGTTGCTTCACAAACCAATAGGGATATTTTCTTAAGGAAGAATTTCCATGTATTTAAAGTGAATTAAAACTTTAAAATATCCATGTGTCTCGTCCCCTTCAACACCTCCATGTGTGTCATTCCCTCCCCACCCTCCCCCCAGCTCCTCCACGTGTCTTATTCCCTTCCCCCCAGCTCCTCTATGTATCTCAGGTTAGCAGGTTACATTATAAAAGGGCCAGCTGCTATTTAAATCAGTATTTTCTGCAAAAAAAAAAAATAGGACACACTCTTCACATGTAAAGCTTTTCAGTATGCTAGATGGACACTGCAGACCCTTAAAGCACTTTAGCTTACTGAATAGCTTTATGTGCTTTTTATTTTACAGAAAATATAGATTTAAATAAAAATTAACACTTTTATAAATTAACCTGGTTACCACCCCTGGCTTTGGAGCAAACAACAGGTAATGTTACTTCCTGGTTTGGTTAGCTCAGTGGAGCTAAACTCCATAGGCAGTCAGTTGCCCAGAGCACCTGACTTGCAAAGAATTCTCAGTGGGCTGCATTGGGAAGTCTGTGATTGGACAGCCACAGAAAGTATGGGTGTGGCTAGTAGGGGAGGGTTTGAATAAGGCAGCAGACAAAAGAACTGCTGGTTTTTCTAAGAAATTTTTAGATATACCCTTAATGAAAAACAAATATGTATTTAAAAGCATGCATATTTTAACTAGAGACATATCTACTAAACAGTGATTTTTAATTATTTTGTATTTGGGCAGTGGAGTGTCCATTTAACAAATATGAATCTGTTGGAATCGAGACATACTTGTATGCCTGCCCTCAATTACACTTTCTTCAGAGATAAGAAAAGAATACTACAAGTAATTGCTCAATTATCACTTCAGCTCTTTATCAAGATCCCAGTAACCAGTACTGACTGCTGCAGTCTTTTTACACAAACACCTTCATGACTTCATATGTGATAGTGGTATCCAATGTACTTCAGCCTCCCCAACACACACAGTATAATCTTCTATCCAGATCCCCCTAATAACTCATCTTTGAGGTGTGCCAACTCTGACTGGGGACATCTAAATGGCAGAATGTTCAATACATTAATTTGCGGCAGTTGAATAAATAGTTTTTTTCATAACAAGTTACTCCATGTTGTGACAGTCCTGGATATAATATGTCATGACAGATAGACAGACAGTCAGATTTATTTATATTTGTTAATTACTGACCCTTCTTTTTCTCAAACAGGTGCCACACAGGAATCCAACAAGTCCATTGATCACCTGAATGGCACACAACAGTGCTTCAATGGCACCCAGGCCCAGGAGTATCGAGAAAAGGACAATGTTCCATAATACAATATTTTCAGGCTCCCGGCAAATGTCCCACGTGTTCTGTTGGAATAAGTAGCTTTCTCTGCAATAGTGGATAAAGAACACAACAGAGGTCAAATATTTTATATGTTTATCACGGAAAACCCAGGACATTCTCCTTGCTTTAAAGAACCAAGCAAACCATGTGAGCTTTGCTGATCTTTGGTAATTAGTAGACTTACTCCTCTGTGTCATTTCTAAAAGGATAAGTGTATGTTCCATCTCCAGTGTCACACAAAGGTCCATCGACCAATCCCATTGCAGAGATGACAACACAGTAAGCTCCACCCGCAGTGCCCAACAAAGCCAGCAATACAGACAGCAGCATCTGAGGATGGACATGGTATAAATTCACTATGACAAAAAGTATGCTCTTATTCTAAAGCACAATAATAAACCATAAATATTAAATTCACAAAACAATCTCTCTTTTATGGCCCTAGGGATAGCATTAGTAAAACTCTGCTTTCTACTTCATAAATGACAATGAAGAACATCTTGGGTATCCTCGGTATGCAGACACATCTAGGCATTTTTAATGGTTGGATCACACTGTAAGGAAAGGAAACCCAATTTCATGCAAGGAACGTTAGGCTCCTTGATGCAAGTTATCTTGAGGATTAGATCTCTTGGAACTGAGTGTCAAGTTCATTGTTACGATGAGTAGAGCATGATGAGATAATGGTGGTCATCAGACAATTCAGATTTTTACTTGCTTCCTTTAATGCAGGGGAGTTATTGTGATACCTGCACAAGGGAGCAGAAAGGACCATTCCTTATTCTAAAAGATAACAGTTGAAAGCACTGTGATTGCACCTTCTTAGCTCTAAACTGCCTAATTAGTGTATAAGTGGTAGGCAGAGAAATATTTAGGAGAAATTCAGACTAAGAATTAAATTGACTTGCTTGAAGATTTGTCTGCTACCTTTGGGAAGATAGTATTGTGTTTAGAATGTGTCAGATCACCAAAGTGCATAGACAGAGTACTCCGTGGCAGTAAGAGTATCAATATTGGGTATACTAAAGAGTTAGGCATCTTGTACACATTTTAGTAGGCTCCCAAATAGTTAAAACTGTCCATCCACATTCAAACAAATGCAGAGTAGTTATTACCTATTACCGTAAACCTGTCCACATAACCAGTGATTTGGTATTCAGAGTGGAGATTTAGAATACATTTCATTTCCTCTGTGTATGCATCAAACAAACTGTAAGTTGTCACCTCGTGTCTTTTGTTTGGTGTTTGTCATATAAGACTCATGACTAGGGACTCTGATAGTATTGTAGAACAAGAACTTGGTCCGGCTGTCTTGTCTGGGATTGAGACATGTAATACCTTTTTGTGTCATTTTACCCCACTCCCTCTAGCATGTAAGCTCATTGAGCAGGGCCCTCAACCCCTCTGTTCCTGTGTGTCCAACTTGTCTGGATACAACTACATGTCTGTTCGTCCACCCATTGTAAAGCGCTGCGGAATTTGACGGCGCTCTATAAATATCATAATAATAATAATAATATTATTATTAATTGGTAGTGTGTATCATTAATATTTTAATTTATTTTAGTTAGTATTTGCTTGGTACATTGTCTTGATTGTGGTCAGTTGTTCCCCATTACTGTAATGTAAAATTCTGCATCAGAAAACATTTGGATTAAAGATAACCAGATTGTGAAGGATTGTGATAGAGCAACATGTTTGTCCAGGTAACTTATCGGCTCATTGGGTTGCAATCGGCAGCAATCAGAGTAAACTCAGGAACAAGAACCGCAAACACTACTATCACTCTAGCAGATGATGTGAGGGCAATGTGACTGTTTATGAATGGCCGGACAAAGGCCTCTGGCAGCTTTACCAATAAAGAACACGAGAAAGTAAAGGAATGGGAGCTCTTCTGATATATGCGAGAATGCTGTTTTAGTACTCTGGCCATTTTCATTAAGGACGGTGACAATGACCTTCACAGCCTTCACAGCTTTTGGCATCCCGCACAAAGAGAAGGAGCCAGCCACACTGATTATAACTCTAGTCGGAAGAGCACCTCGACTCTAGGCCACTAAATAAACTTTAATACATGCAGAAACATGAACAATCAAACAAAATAAAAGCATTAGCAGGATTGTAGGATAAACAAAGAATGTGAGATTATATAAAAATTCTTACCCCACATCTATTTGCACAACACCCTTCTCCACCTGCCCCAAGAGTCATAAACGCTGTGAGGAAAACCTGTGGGAGACAACAATATATTTTACACATTTTTTTAAATGATTTACATCAGGGATGCCCAAAAGGTAGATCTCCAGATGTTTTAAAACTACAACTTCCATGATGCTTTGACATTCTGATTGCATGCAAAGCATCATGGAAGTTGTAGGTCTACAACATCTTGGGATCTACCTTTTGAGCACCCCTGATTTACATTTTTGATCAGTTCCTAATGTACTAAAAGTCTGCAACGATATGCAAAGTGGAATGATACATGCACTAAATGAAGTCACCTTTTGTGTTTTTTCCCCCCCCAAGACCTTTTACGCTGTTGCCTATGGATACAATGTGTCATAAGCCCATAAGGTAATGAAATACAATTTACCTAACTGATTTAGATCATACTAATTCAACAGAACCCAATCCATTGCCATTGGCAGCCCATTGCCAAGCAGAGCCTCTTATTCAGTAAATGGAGTAAAAACATAGTAAAATCTTGGGTGACTCCATTATAAATACTGTGTGTCCCAGTACTGAGCATTATACTTACAGCAGTGTCAACCTTTGATTCCAAATCCACTTTCACTATTTCATTTTTTTTCAAAAATGCAACTTTTGGGAAACCATGTAAAACCAGTTTTCCTGAAAATATTAATTCACTGAGTTTTTTTTAGGAAATTAATTGGTGTAATATTCTGATTTTATAGAGGAAACTTTCATCATTGAGTTTCCAGGGGGGGGAACAACTTTTTTCCCTCTTTAAAACTTTGGCTATGCTAATTAAGTATTCCGTTATTTTGTGTCAATAAAAAAAACACATACAACTTATAACAGAATTCTACTGAGTATATAGTATGAAATAATCATTTAAATACATCTTTCTTACTAGTAATCCAGCTCCAATTATTCCATGAAAATACCACACATAATCCGTTATCTCTTCTGTTGCCAAAATCTTTCCGTTGGGGAAATAGAGGAGTAGATTGCAAATAATGGCGCAGAGTCCGAGGGGGAAAAGAACTATACCAATGAGCCTCGAACATTTCCCTGTGCACATTGTCTTGGAAAACTGCAAAATAAAAACATAAATGCAATAATAATAATAATTCAATCAGTAAATTATAATTTCTCAAATAAGCCAATCCTAAAAGATCAGTATTATCTCAACTTCTCATATTCACTGATGAAGACAGAAAACAAAATAGCCCCACAAAAAATACATCGCCAAATAGCCATAATTTGAGTGCCCAAGTTCTCCAAATAGCACTCTGATCCATGCAGTGTAGGGAAAACGTCACCGTGTTAAAGTTCTGACCAGCCACATACACGGTCCTATGCCTAAAACAGTTCTCGGCATTTGGTGCTTTGGCCGATCAACACTCAGGAGCTCCTGCGGCCGCAATACGGACTACTCCGGCTGTCTCTTAGGTTGCGTTTGTTACCCTTAGTCTCAAAATGTCTCTAACCCATGAACCAAGTTGGCCGGAAAATCGCACAAAGTCCTCATGCCTAGTTTAGTTCCATAATGATCGCAGCTAAGTACCAATGAGGACAATTCGTGGGTTTGGGTCATGTGAACGGCCGCCAGAGAGACAGCTTTCACTTCCATTCACATGAAGGGAAAGTGCCGAACTAGGGGCACCCAGGGCAAGCTACTAATGGCGGAGGTTTAACTCCCGAACAGGGTCTTTGTATATGGCCCATAGTCCTTGGGCACGAAACTAGCCAGCAGGCTCCTCCAGGAGCTCGTGGCACGTTTGCCACCGGTAATTTCAGGTAGTCAGGTTGCATACTTAAATGGAGATTGTTATTAAAATTCACCTATATATTAGTCTTAAAATGTAAATTCAGTATGAGTAAAATACAGTTTCGATTTTGGTGTCCTGTCCAACATCTGGGAACACAACAGCCTGTGCTGCTCTCTGCAGGGTCTTGTAAGTTGGTTGCTGACCAAACAGGCCTCTTCACAGACCCCCACCCCATTTTCCGGCCCTCGTGTTGTTGGCGCTGACTGATATGCGAGTTGCATCAGGTCCTTCCCCCATTCTGATATCATACCTTCCAACATTGTGAAGTATGTTAAAACCAACCTAAATGTACTAATTATATCTGTACAAACAGAGATACAATCAAATACACCTAAACAGTCCTATTGTATGGGCCAGTAGTTTTTGTACACTTAACATGAAGCCATTAACAATCACATAAATACAAATTAAGTCACTTTATAATGTGAGCTTAATGTGACAATACTAATGTGTTTAGGTTAATGACCCTTTTAGCTGGCTGTTAAACACCAATGTTTAAATTGTTGTGAATTCAAACTGAATATCAATCTTAAAGGACCACTATAGTGCCAGGAAAACATACTCGTTTTCCTGGCACTATAGTGCCCTGAGGGTGCCCCCACCCTCAGGGACCCCCTCCCGCCCGGCTCTGGAAGGGGGAAAGGGGTAATAACTTACCTTTTTCCAGCGCTGGGCGGAGAGCTCTCCTCTTCCGATCCTCCTCTTCTCCTCCCCGTCGGCTGAATGCGCACGCGCGGCAAGAGCTGCGCGCGCATTCAGCCGGTCACATAGGAAAGCATTCATAATGCTTTCCTATGGACGCTGGCGTGCTCTCACTGTGAAATTCACAGTGAGAAGCACGCAAGCGCCTCTAGTGGCTGTCAATGAGACAGCCACTAGAGGATTAGGGGAAGGCTTAACCCATTAATAAACATAGCAGTTTCTCTGAAACTGCTATGTTTATGAAAAAATGGGTTAACCCTAGCTGGACCTGGCACCCAGACCACTTCATTAAGCTGAAGTGGTCTGGGTGCCTAGAGTGGTCCTTTAAGGCAAAATCTTTGAATCAGAAACATAGCAGGTGTGGATCATTTTACCAGTTGTGTTACTTTACCTTAACAATTTTAATTTAATTTGAACTAATTTAGAATTCCAAACAATTCACAAACCCTGATTATTTTGCTTTCCAATTATTTTTTGAGCAGTGTGTTAAAGGAACACTATAGGCAACTATACCACGTTATCTCAATGTGCGCCCCATTTTAACCCTGCAGCTGAAACATTACAATTCTGCAGAGACGGCAATATTTAAATTGCACGGCTAACCTGCCTCTAGTGGCTGTCAATATGACCTTCACTCAAGGTATGTCCGTAAAATGTAATTTTAATTTGGTTCTAATCAAGTGGATAAAACACATTAAATGCTGTTAGTGCTGGGGCGTTGGGGTGAGTTTGGTGCAACGGTCCAGCCTTGTGCTGATGGGCTGTTGTGCCTCTGTGGTTTGAGTGTGTGTTGTGTGGCTTCTATCAATTAGTTTTTTTTGCAGTATTGACACATTGTTATTATTGTTACTTACTTTTGTTTTGTAGATTTAAATTTATAATAAAGTGATTTGATTTAAAAAAACAAAACTTAACAACCAAAACTGGTTGTTAAGGGGACAAAAAACCCATCACAGTAACTGTTTATTCATTAAGATGTTGTGGGGTTTTATTTCAAAATCTTGCTTTGATATATTTTATTTTATCATAAAAAACCCATATGTTTTCCCTGTTATTATCACTACTAAACCAATAGATAACACAGAAAGTAGTACATAAAAAAAAAAAACACATTAAAAAATATAGTCACCTAGGTGGCATGATAAATCATAATGAAAATACGGCAGTAAATCTTTATAGCCTTAATAAAAAAGAATATATTAGCAATTATTAGTTGAGAAGCAGACAAAATATGTTAGACTACATTATTGTTGTACCATAATATTGTTATTTTCTTCATACGTTGCACTATTTTTACAGAAAGGGGAAATCTTATCTGCATTAGATCTGTCTCTGTGCCAATAATGAATGAACAAGGAAACTGTATATAATTCAAAAGTTAATTTCAAATTTAAGGCATATATTGCTGAATTGGTAAAATTCTCCAAGCCAGTCATACTTAAAGATCGGCTACATTGGCCTTAAAGGAACACTATAGTGTCAGGAATACAAACATTTTTGACCTCATTAAAAGGTAATAAAGCTTGCCTTTAATTCGGTGCTGCACTAGTCTCGCCGCCTCTGGCTCTGCCCATGCTCCACCTCCTTGGCTGAGATCATTAAAATCGACAGTCTCAGCCAATCCAATCACATAAATACAAGTCCCATAATGCCTGCTGCGCCAATCAGCATCTCCTCATCGAATCAATGCATTTCAATGAGGAAAGTTCAGTGGGTGGAGACACTGAGTGTCAGTCACATTGTGCGGCACTGACACAGGAAGCACCTATAGTAGCCATCTGAGTAACTGCCACTGGTGGTATTCTTGGCATCAATGTAAACACTGGTTTACAAGAAAGTACCTGCAGGGACTGACTATACTCACCAGAACAAATACATTAAGATGTAGTTGACTATAGTGTCCCTTTAAATTTGAAACTCGTTTGGAATTCACTTTGAAATTACAGCAATTCTCGCTTTAGTGAATAATCCTTTGGGACAAAAAAAAAAAGCCACAAAACTTTGCAGATATTGTGGTTGTCCATCTAAATTTAGCTGAAATAGCACTCGTGATGTATAATCTGAAAATTTAGAAAATAAGAACAGTACCTGACATAGGTGGTAATGGCAGAAAATGCAGTGATATCTATATAATACCTCCCAACATTCCTACATCCAGGATAACAGTCTCTATTAAGGATCACTGTCCCATTGTCCTGGGCTTTTTTTTCTCTGGCATGGTGACACCCAAGCAAAGTTCAGGTGTGAGCCGTATATCTGTGTGAGCACTCACGAGCTAAACATGCGCAGTCATTATGGGTCTTTACATCCTTAGTGCCACCAGTTACCAGTGATGTGTATTGTGTCATTGGCCCTTCCTATTCCTCTCACCACCCATCCTTCTTTTACACGTCCTTCATTTGATGGTAGTCACCATCACTGGGGACGGATGACGGATACTTAATGTAGGCCCCTAGGTTACCCTTATGTTTTAGTCACCCTGTGCCCATTATAGACATAGGTGTGCGCAGCCTATTGTATAAGGGTGTGAACCCTAAAGCAGAAACACACACGCCGCGTATATATATATATATATACACATGCACATACACACACACACTGCTGTATGTGTGCAGGTGCTGTGTGTGAAGGCGCTGTGTGTGAAGACGCTGTGTGTGTGTGCGGGCACTGTGTGTGTGAAGGTGCTGTGTGTGTGAAGGCACTGTGTGTGAAGGTGCTGTGTGTGTAAGGGTGCTGTTAGTGTGTGCTGTGTGTATGTGTAAGGGTGCTGTTAGTGTGTGTGTGTGTGTGTGTGTAAGGGTGCTGTTAGTGTGTGCTTTGTGTGTGTGGGTGAGGGTGCTGTGTGTGTAAGGGTGCTGTTAGTGTGTGCTGTGTTTGTGTAAGGGTGCTGTGTGTGTGAGGGTGCTGTTAGTGTGTGCTGTGTGTGTGAGGGTGCAGTGTGTAAGGGTGCTGTTAGTATGTGTGAGGGTGTTGTGTGTGTAAGGGTGTTGTTAGTGTGAGGGTGCTGTTAGTGTGTGTGTGTGTGTGTGTGTGTAAGGGTGTTGTTAGTGTGTGCTGTGTGTGTGTAAGGGTGCTGTGAGGGTGCTGTGTGTGTAAGGGTGTTGTTAGTGTGAGGGTGCTGTTAGTGTGAGGGTGCTGTTAGTGTGTGTGTGTAAGGGTGTTGTTAGTGTGAGAGTGCTGTGTGTAAGGGTGTTGTTAGTGTGAGGGTGCTGTTACTGTGTGTGTGTGTGCTGTGTGTGTAAGGGTGATGTATGTGTGTGTGCTGTATGTTTGTGTGTAATGTGTGGGGGCCTTCTTACCTTATGTAGGGGGGGGGGGCGTGCTCCTGCCTTCCCTGGTGGTCCAGTGGAGAGTGAACTCTAGCCCCCTGTGGGGCTAGAGTTCACTCACACGAGAGGAACCCGGCGGAGCTGCTGACAAGAGCTCCCCGGGTCCTCTCCTGTCCTCCCTCCCTGCCTGTGGGTTGGTGAGGGAGATCTTTGATCTCCCACACCGGCCCATGGAGGGAGGCACCTAGCGCGTGCCGCAGGGATTAGGGTGTGCCCAGGCACACCCGGCACACCTCGTGCGCACGCCTATGAGTATAGGTTCAGGCTGGGTATAATGTATTTGTTTGTTGCTAGTTATCTTCCCCTATCTCTTGTCTTATTGTTTTCCTAGCACAGGGACACTTCCAGACCAGTTCAAAATGGCTGCCCTGTGTGACGGATCCTGTCTTGAACCCAGGGTTGCGGGGCAGGGCTTCCTCTTGCTTGGGTTGGAAGGAGACTTCATTGTTTCAGGTTGTTTGTTTTGGTGGGGCTGCTGGTGGTTTTCAGCAAGAAACACAAGGAATTAAAGGAAGAAGACTTGATGGGGAGAGGTACGTGCTGTTAATTACCCATTGTATGCAAATGGCCCTCTGTGTGTATAAATACCTCTGCACAGCTTCAACAAAGAGTTATAGTTCCCAGCACTATGTGTCGTCTAGTGTCTGTGGAGCCTGAGTATGGAGCTCCACTTCACTTCGACTGTTTGGAGATGTGCCATTTAGCCAACTGTCAGCGCAGTGTAGTGTAGTAGGCCTCCCTTAGTTTAAATGGAGATTCTACCCCTACCCAAGAGTTGCCACTGATTTCTATATAATAGATATAGACTATCTCTGTTATAATGTGGTCATAATGGCAGGAGTGAGAGCACTTACCTCTTGGAATCTAGACTTTAAACCTGAACGCTACTGTATGTCACGGAGGGTTGTGAATCAGATTAAATTAGTGAGAGATTTTCACTGTAAATGTAAAAACTTTAAATTTTTTCTATATTGTTATCATCTCATTGCTGTTTTTCATTTTTGTCATTAAAAAAACAACAAACGTATACCAGTTATGTTTAGCCTTTGCATTGCAGATTCTAACAAACTACTTTTCATGGGATAATGTGCCAGTCCAAAGGCTAAGCATAACTGACTTCCATTTTTCTATATAAGATTGTCAGTTTTCCAATGTAACTATTCCTCTAATAATTGTGTGCAGACTACAACTTTTACAATGCCCAACTAGTAGATTCAGCACAGAAGATGAAAATGTAAAAAATGCAGTCCAAGTGCCATAAACAAAATATTACATTGTCAGACCATATGAAAGTGGCGTAGTGGGTATGGTGCCTAAACTGACCCTTTAATGAAACAATTCGACAAAACGTGACTTCTAATAAAACAAGCGATAGATTCAAAATAACTTAATCTAAACTAAGTGGTTAAGGTGCCAGGAGGCCAACGGAGGCACTTTTACCACAAGGGGTTAAATCGTTCTCAAACGGTTTAACCCCGAAGGTGCCTAAATTGCGATGTCCTCTCTCCCCACTCCCCCCCAAGCGTATTCTAGCTTCTACAGATTCTGGAAGCGTGGAGTGCCACTGGGCTGGGGAGCCGCTGGTTGGCTGAGAGTAGTTCAGTAGGTGTTCAGAAATTTAGAAGCTGGATTCCACCTGTGGCGGTAACTCTTGGGTTAAACTGATTGAGAACAGGTAAGAGTTCCTCTGGGGACCTCCTGGCACCATAGCAACTTAATTTAAATGAAGTTGTTATGGTGCCTGGAGTGTCCCTTTAATGATCAATTTAATGTCTATTGTCACTCTGCCTATAAATACAAATATACACAATAATTAACAGTCAGGATTATGTCATATTTTTCTAAATAAAGGGGTCTATTATGCAATAGGCAATCTTTCAGACTGCCCGTGTACCATAACCTTCATCTTTATGCCAACCTTGTTAAACTGTAACTAGATATGACTCAATATGTAATGCGTCTGTCAGAATAAAATAAGGAAGATTCAATAAGACCGAGGAAACTAGAGGCAATTTACTAAATAGTGAGATGACAACAATCAGATTTTGGGGGGAAAAAATCTTCAAGTGAAACAATCTCCAGCTTACATTGGGCAACGTAAAGATTATTTTTTTTTAAACTCCTATATTTGATTTAAAATGTTTCCATTGTTTAGTTAATAGCCCCCACCTTTCTGTAGATACTCAGGCTTGAGAATCGTTTTAAGATTTAGATTAGACTTTTTACCAAAGCTGCATTTGGTTCAGTCCAACCTTTATTGGGAGGGAATTCTGAAATAATTCACGTAGATGTGAGCAGGACATTTTCTTAGGTTGTGTACCCCAAGACTATTATTATTATTAATATGAGGCAAATACCTTTTAATATTTAGGTACAAGTGATTTATATTTAAATTGGTCAGTGGTGGGAGCACTATAAGAAAACATGATAAATCTAAAGGCTACTAGCTCTGCCCCGTGGGCAAATAGTTCTGATTTAAGATTTCGGGTCCGGAATTCAGCCATCCGTCAGATTTCAAATTTAGTCTCATTCAGAGCTTGGATTGAAAACTCCAGACTTTCTTAAATCATATAAACAGTGCATGAATAGTACTTCAACAAATTATTTTGTCCCGTTCAATTGTGGCATTGGAACTTTACTGAATTACCATTAATGTTTATTGCTCTAAACTAAAAGAAACTAATGTGTACAAATATAAAACGATGTTCCTTCATACATGTTAGGACTAATAACGAGCCTCGCTACACTGGCTGATTTCAAACGCTTGACTACAAATAAAGAGGGACACCCAGGATTTGGAATTTTTGGGATGACCACTTTTTGCATATTGCAATTTCGCATTCCACCATTTCAAATTCACAGGATTGTATTTGAACGATCTGAGCATTTTAAGAGACGTTCAGGCTAATTCCACAGTAACCACCATCCGTTTATCTCATTCACAAATTTAATCACACAGATTAAAATGTTCAAATCTGCATATTACCAAATAACTTGTAATTTTAGAAATTAGTTCTAAATGTCTGAAAATAAATAAATAAAATGCTATCTATCTATCTATCTATAGTGAATGTAATCAAAATAATTTGAAAATATTACACATTCAGAGTATGGAACCCTGGAACAAAAAGGTGTTACGTACCTGAAACCCCGAGAAGCAAACACCGGAATTATGTTTGTCCTCTACCGCAGTGCTTGTGTGATGAGTGACTTTCTGGTGAAAGCTAACAATGATTTCAAGAATTTGGAAGGACCCTGAACTTGTATCTAGGCTGCAGCAACAAGTGATATCTTGCGTTATCGATTATCTGGCCAGTGAATGCCTCACTGTTCTCTTGGTCAATGTTCCTGTTTTTTTTACTTATTAACTCGCTGAGATGATGTCATTTTTGTATAAATAACGCTCTAGTAATGTTTGTCTATGCTACTCATCACCGTCCACAAATGTTGTAGCTATGGATTTGATCTAGCTTAAATATTCTGGATATAGTAAAAGCACAGATGAAATTAGCAGAGGTAAAAACTTAACAATGGCATTTTACCAGTTTGCCCAGTAAATTTTATCCAAGAACACAATTGTTTTTCTGTAAGGACAAAAGTGGTTGGTTGGCGATAAAGCTCTAACAGTATTTGTCTGGCATAAATCCCATTCAATACCATACATTGAATGAGAAACATTGAATTAGACCATCATGGAGGAGTTCATGCCTCCGTTGTGGAAGGTGAAGAGGGAGGGAGGAAGCCCACTATTGCTAGAGACTGTAGTGTTAGAAGTACAGGTATGTATTCCTTTAATCATCATATATAGCAATGTACTGCCCAAGTCACTAGATATATGTACTTCCCATTAGAATGAATAATTAAAGAGCCCTTTACCCTAGGTCTGTGTGTTCCTCGCCAACCTAACAACAATATAATGAGCAAAAAAATCAATGGTTACCATGTGTATATCCCTTGCTGGATGGTTAATGATAGTTAATGATTTACTGCTGGCATGTTAGAATGCAAAGGGCTAATATAGCACCTGTTACCAATCCAGTGAAGGCAGCATTGTATGATAAGACAATTTGGGCACCACGTGCCCCACTAAGGTAAGGCACTCATGTGGGTCACAGAAGGAACAGCATTTCCACAGGAGATTTGTGATGCCATCGTGTACCAGCAGCTATGTGCAAGGCCTCTAGGCTATTGCAATCTTCCAAGATTCCAAGTTTTTGTGAGAACTTTTATATGTCAAAAGTTTAACCTTTCCATATATATTGGAGGAGAAGCCTTATCGGGCAGACGAGATGGGCCGAATGGTTCTTATCTGCCATCACACTATGTTTTTATGACAGCCTTAATCCACCAATACACCACCTTGTTTTTATCACAAATTCTTTCTGGCGTAGCGTCTCCCCTTTTCCAAACTGGAGGCAAAAATATTTCACATGACTTGTATATCTGGAAAATTACAAAAAAAAATTCCAGATAAAATCAGTTTGTACCTCAGTAAAATGACCCCTAAAATTGGACTTAATCTACAATTACATAAGACCAGCCAACTGATGTTGGCAACAATTAAATCACAAACTTGGTGCTTGTCTTATTGATAATCCTCCAGACATTAATCCAAATACCTAAAGTTTCTGCGAATTGCTCTGTATCCTTCCTGGAACTCAACAGTCACATGTTTAAGAAAGACTTAACACAATATGGTTTACCATGTTTGGCAAATAGAAGCATGTTCGTAATTTAAAACCATGGACAATGTACAGACTTTTATTATAGTATAATAGAGCTGTAACATACACAGAAGAATAATTCAAAATTTTTGTAGAGATTAGAATAGAGATTAGTATAACCTTAATAAAAATCTCATATTTAATGAATGGACTATAAGTGTGAGTAACATAGAGAGGATGTGATGATGGTACAGAGGGATTGGACATTTATTAATAGCATAGTTGGTGTAATGCAGTTTTTTGGCAAATAAATATATTGTCAGACTGCTAATTACAAAACAGCAGGTGATATAATTTCAATCAGTATTTTGTACCCAGCAGTAATTAAATATAATGTACACGAAACTGAATTATGCATAGCACGTCTTGTGTTCTTTGCGTATTTCCTTACAATGAAATCTCACACAAAGACAATTCTTTTGCAATATTTATTTGGAGATCAGATCTGTGTGTTAATAGACATAAATAAATTCAGGGAGTGTAAAGTCCTGAACGTATCGTAAACCTGTGCTTATAGCCATATAAAATATTTTCAACTTTACTTTGAGAAACAGTTTGTGCCTCAGACACGAAGTGGGGTGACACCAATCGGAAGCCCAGATACAGACCTTCAGGGTCCCAGTGGTTTCAATTGCAGGATGCATGATTTATTAAAAATAATTTTGGCAATGGGCATTCTCTTCTTTGTCTGTATCCCTGTAATAGACATGACTATTAGCACCACCTTGTGGATCAACATGTAATTGAGCCTTGTACTATTGTTAATAAGACATTGGACGTACCTAGAAGTGGTCTGTATTAACCCATATTTCATACATTGCATTTTCATGGTTTTACCTATATAATAGCATTCCTGATTGACTTTGGCTTGTCCAGCCCCAGCTTGTCCAGATTACCATTTGTCTGACTGTCTATCTTCACACAGACCATGTTTTGACACCCGATTTAAAACAAAGATACCTCCTTTAAGATCTTATCGGCACACCATCCCATGCTTTGGTTCCGTGTTCAAAGCCTCTCTGACTACATCAATCATATTTAAAATCGTCAACACTACAGAATAAATACTCAGAAATAATGAGGAAAGTGGCATTTTTTGTTTTTTTAATCAATTGAAGAGACAGAGACAGAGGATTATGCACATGACGCTGATGCTGGGCACCGTTCTTTAGCACTTGTAATTAATTACTTTGGAGCTATTGTTTTGTAGAGATAGCTCTTTTTGTTATTTTCAGCTATGTAATTTGAAATCAAAATGTGCTAAATTTAGGCCAAAATTACCTAAAGTAGGTAACTTGGATAAATTTTTCCAGCTCTGCAGTAAATTAATGTAGTTGTTCTGATGTCTACTGCCTGTACCTACAGGCTTTTTAATATACTGTAAAAAGTCGTTTTAATGTAAACAATGCAGGGAAAAGGCAGTGTTTACATTACTGCCTAGTAACACCTATAAGTGCAGTCACTCAGACGGCCACCAGAGGTGCTTCCTGGGTCAGTGTTGCAGTGTGCAGCACTGATATTCAGTGTCTCTACACTCTCTATGGAGATGGCAGAACACTCCCCATAGAGATGCATGGATTCATGCATCTCTATAAGGAGATGCTCATTGGTGCAGCGTAGTGTTGTGCCGCGCATACAAAATAGCCTCCCAATGCTATCCTATGGGAACCATTGAATTGACTGAGATCATTAAATTTGTTAATCTAAGCCAAGGGGTTGGAGCCAGCTATGAAAAGACTCGCGCAGTGCTGGCATAAAGGTGAGTAAAACACCTTTTTAACAGGGAATAACAGGGGAGGCGGCATCTAAAGAGCGCTTTTAGAACTATAGTGTCAGGATTACATGTTAATATTACTGACTATATAGTGTTCCTTTATTTCAAATTAATGTTTTAGTTTACTGCAATGCACAGCTATTTATTTAAATCTACAAGTTGAGTGGATAAATCAGGAACTACACCCCAGATCCTGGGTTATATTAACATTAAACATTAGACATTAGGATGTTTCATGCTGCCCTCCACAGAGTAGGCCTTAACACCATTAGGACAGCAGGAATGCCCTACAGATCTTGTGTGACTAGGATTAAATTTTGGCTCACACCAGTGACTCCCAGGCATCAGTTGATACCTGGGGATGCCCTCTGTCAGCAGGGGCCATTTTTAGTTTCCCCAGACGGGCAGATTAGCTGTATGCATTTACTTGGCGTTAGTGTAAGCATAGGATAAGGGTCATTAGACATGTACAATTCCAATCAAAGTTCCAAATCAAATTTCGTCCACATTTGACAATTCAGAATTGTCCAAATTTCTGAATTCTTTGCAAAACAAAGTGAACAGAAAACAAAGGAGTTCAGAACAAATTAAAGTAAATTCTTTCAGATCCATTAATTTTCATAAGGATAGCAAATTAGGGACTTATCTACTAAGAAACAACAGCAAAATTAAGAAAAAGGTTTTTTTTGCTTTCTCAGCTGTTTAGTAGATAGCTCCCTAATTTGGTATCCTTATGTGGGAGTGCCATAAATAAGGGTACCAAATTAGGGATTTATCTACTAAGCAACTGAAAGAGATTTTGTACTGCTTTCCCAGCTGTTTAGTAGATGTCTCCCTAGGTTTGTTGCCCTTGTATTGGATTGCCATTTCAAAGATACCAAATTAGGGAGCTATTGACTATTGTTTATTCCACCGTCATTAAAGAATTCTGTTAAAAATGTAAATAATTAGAGGGGAAATATTTTTTGCTTGTAATAATTTATAGACATCCATTGCAACTAAATACAAAATAGATTCCCTTATCAGTCTGGATTTTTAAAAGTCTTGGTTCTCAATTAAGTTTTGGTAGTTAATGCTAACCCTATTCCAACCACCCCGAACACTATAACAACTATACCTCTTAGACGTGTGCACCGGCAAAGAAATAGTTTCTTGTTGTCAATTCATTAATTTTCAATAAAATTCAGTTAATATGAAGTTTGGAAATTACAGATTTGGACTGAAATGAAATCCTGAAAAAAATTGGAAGTGAAAAGTTCAGGCACCATTATTCCCATTATTCCAAAGGATACCAAATTTGGATGCTGCTTAGCAGGTAGCTCACTTTTTGGTACATATCGCAGGGGGTTTTGCCAGTCAGGCAGATTCTGATTCAGCGTTCATATGGCAGATGAATGCAGGTGACAGCAAAAACACTGTTTTACTTGAACCACCTTTTTAAAGTAAAACATTGTGCCACTGCCTCTCTGTTTAGCCTGCTGTGTGTATCAAATAAACAAACATCTGAAATGAATTAAAAATGTTAAACCTCAGTAGCTAAACTGGAAGAATTCAGTATATATTGATGTTGTTTGAGCTTCAATAATTTGCCCTAATATGTTCAATTTCCATCTTATGTTTACTACTGCAAATGTCTTCTTCAGAAAATACAATATACTTCTTTGAGCGTAGATCACTTGGTTAAAACCGTATCCACTATGACGTTGAAATACAGGAAAACACTGCCACCTAGTGTCTTGATTCTGAACAACAACTTTTAGAACAACTTCAACATTATTATTATTGGTATTTATACAGCGCTAACTAATTCTGCAGCACTTTACA